CAACAGGAATCTGCTCTAAAAAAAAAAAAAAGAAAAAAAAAAGGAATCTGCTCTATAACTGTGTCATTCTGGAAAGTCCAGCTGTGCCTGCTAACTGACTGACTGTCATTCAGTCCAGTTCAGGTTTGGGCAAAGGGAGCTTACCACAATAGCATTGGGAGAATGCATCAATGCTCTCAGTTCGTTGAGATCATTCTCAGCCTGCACCGAAACAAAAGGAGGGTGACAGAGGGGAGAGAAAGAGGGAGAAATCGTTAGCTCAGCACTTTCCATGCATGCACAAGAAAAAAAAACAACCCAAAAACTAATTATATAAACAGTGATACAGATTTTATGGTCACCTAATCTATAAGGCTTTGACAATGCAACTGTGCAGTGATCAAAATGTAAAGGTCAAATCTCAAACTACCAGCTACTTTTACCGTTTTGTAGATAACTTTATGGGATCAAAACAAATTGCTTGTGTATTAGTCTAATTTTGACCACAGGTGCTCTAAACCAATGTAGGGTCGTTACACCAGGAGATTCATTTCTACCGGCATTAACACTTTTATGGGTCTGCTGTAAAGTGCTGGATCAAGCGCTAATAAAATAAACTGGCAATTTAAAAGCCAATTACATAAAGACGCCTTAATAAGCATTTTACGTCACCTTTAAATTTCTGTTCATTCTACTCAGCCCCAGAGGGTTGTCCTGCGGGCTTCAACATTAAAAATTAAACAAGTTCATGCTGCTGGGTTTGCATAACTGTGCCCCGTACAGACTGCTGTTTGAACTCACCTATGTTACCACCTGCTGCTTTCATAAACTTAGCTTTGGTTGATAATTAATATGAGACGAGACTGATCTGAAAAGATACTGTATGTATTCTAGCTCTGCGTTTTGAAGTGAAATTTCACTGTCACATATTCCATGTTGCCCAGAATATTTCCTATTATGTAGTCACTGTAAACAAATACTAACCTTGTCCCACTCTCCTTCCATGACATGGTTGCGGAACTTGGTAGCTGAGGAGTGTTCCAGTCTGCAGCCTGATTCCTGCATCAGCAGGTCCACCGTCTGACTGCAGAGACACAGGAGGAGAGTGGAGGAGAGGAAGTTATCCAGATATATAATGATGAGACATGTGAAAAGGAGAAAAAAATAAAATCAAGGGCAAATGTGGTTTTCCAGCTATTAACAGTCATACCTGAAAATGTGAGCTCAGTCAGCTGACAAGTTAGCCCATCATTATGTTAAGTGACATTTTTTAGGTAGGTTATAGACCTTTTTCCCCACTAGTCATTTATGTCATTATGCCAATACTTTATGGTGATAGCAAATAGTGTACTGGGTGACAAGACGATATTAATGTTTGTGGCCGACAGTAGGGAGAATATAATTTAATGGCTAACAATAACTGGGAGAAGCCGGTTGTGGGGCAGTTGTGTCACCCCAGCATTATTTGTGGACACCAACATGAATCAAGCTTCCACTGCGGTTGACATCACCCCCTTCGGCTCTGTCAACAGTGAACCATAACCATCTGTGCAAACACCATCCCTCTGCTAAACACACTCCACTCCCATAAAAGCTCCTGCAGAGATGTGTGTGCAAGATAATGCAAGTGAAATGGGTATGGGGGGGTGGCTGACACCTTCAGCATGATGACATCATTCTCAGGTATCAATGGAGTGGCGCAGCAGCTCTGTGTTGAGCCCGATTTCGATTGTATTTCCCTGGCTGAAATGTAGGGGCTCTGTTTCATACCAGGCAATTTCACCCCCCCCCCCAAAAAAAAAGAAAAGAAAAAAACCCTCATAGTAAACACAGCAATGTCTTTTATAATGCCTATAATGCTATACTTTCTCAGCTGAACACTAGAAATCAAGCGACCCAACCACTGGCAGTTTGAAGATCACCATACACACGTTTCTTGGGAAAAAAACAAAACAAAAAAAACAACAAACCCTCATTTCTATAATTAGATTCAAACCAACGTTTCCATGTGAAACAGCTGGCAGAAAGCGCATTCCTCAGCCGCCATGAAGCCATCCGATTCTGCTCAGTTCGGGAACAAATGTCGCCCACAGTATTGACTGCTGACTTTAAATAAATACACGCTCCAATACATGCACGTCACTGTTTGTGACTGGCTGATGACACATTGCTCGGACACAGCAACAAAGACGGAAAAAATGAAGGCAGGAGAGAAGTTCTAACATTCGTGAGATAGCTGTGTAAAATGGTGCCTGATTTGATGAAATAAATAGTTCCAAGGACCCATCAAGAAATGCAAAGAGTGCACTAGGAATACTAAAATAACCAGGTCATATTTCATAACCCATACCCGTTATTACAGTGTCTTTCAGCATTACAAGACTTCTCCATGTACCTCTCTAAAAAGAAACCCCAAATGAAAAAAAAAACGTGCTGCATTTGCAGACGAGCTACAAAAAGAAGAAAGCCACCAGAGTAAAAAGCCGACGTTGAAAACCCCGTGCACTAACCTAACATTTTTCTCCGCAATTGCTTTTTGCGCAATAACCTCTCAAACGTAAAACTCACGTCGTGAACTCGATCATTCTGCTTAAGTACCTAATTAGGAAAACTGAACCGTCTCCATTTTATATAGCTGAAAAACCACAACAAATCTGCGATCCTTGTTTTGTGTGAACAAACGTTACTAATGTTAGATGATGTAATGCCTTTTATTCACTGCGAAATCTATAACATTTATTAATAGATCGTGACGTAACTGGCATTAAAAGGCTCCTACGAGTTATGGTGAACTCGTGAAACAGCTCTATGTTGAACTATGTTTTATCTTTCCGTGAACGTTTAATATCAAGACACAACACCTTAGCGCAGGCTACCGATGCTAGCTGTTATTGTGCAAGATGGACCCCTTCTTTCTACCAACTGCCGAGCTCACAGGCTAACTACCAACCCCATCCCCCCATGTTTGTGTCTGTCAAGCGCACTAATATCGCCTTTACCAGCTGCTATTTCGCAGTTTCACATAAAATCCAAGTTATACAGATTGCACTTCTTATGTTCGATGCTAAGGTTAACTGCCTTCGCGAGTTTTTCCTCGACTGACACACTGAATAAACTTACTTCAGTCCTAGTCCGTGGAGATGTTGCCCTATTAATCGTATGACATCTTCCTCCGCCTGCGTTAGTCGTTTCTTCTTTTTCAACGAGCCGACCTCCGAACTCGAGGCCGTAGAAGCAGCCGAAGTCCCCGTGCAAGGCCCTACTGAAGATCCATTACTGGTACCGACGTTATTACCGTTATCTGTGCTGGAGAGAAGGCCATTTGAGTGAGTTCCTCCGACCGAGGAGGACTCCCCGTTTTGTGCGCTGTTTAAGCAAGAGAGCTCCGAGGATTCTTGTCCTTGTCCAGCCCCGTTTGCCTGCATACTGCTGCTGAGGTTGTTGACAACACTTCGGTTAAAGTGGATGGCAGAGGTGGCTTGAGAGTATGCACCGCGTCCTAGGACAACTCCGGAAAGGCCTGTCAAAACTGCTGAAGCCCCGGGCTCTCCTGCTCCCTCCACCGCCGAGGCTCGGTGCTTCTTCCGCGGGGGCGGCGACGCTCCGCCGGTGTCCGAGTCGGAGGAGGAGGAAGCGGAGGCCAGAGTTTCCTCACCGAGAGCGGCCGTGGTTAGAAGCCGGCGAAGCTCCGGGTGGGAAATGAAGGTTAAGCTTCCAGATCTGAGGCCTCGTTGTCAGGCTTAGAGCGTACTGTCACTGTGGAAGCTCTATCAGTTAGCCCGTTTTGTTGTTGTTTCTCTCAAAACAGCTGCAGCTCTAATGGAGTCCTGACGCCCTGACGTAACCGGAAATTCCTACACTACCAGGCTTCCGGGTAGAATTATAATCCATGGGTGGTGCATGAGAACCTAGTTAGCATAATAATGATCAAAAAACAATAACATTTCATATTAAAGTTAATTTTAGTGCTCCAGAGACTTGAAGTGTAATATATCCGGTATTTTGAATTAGCGTAATGAGTAAATCTAGTGTAGCTAGTCTACTGATCACTAGCTAACACAGTGACAAAATAAGTAAATGAAAATGTGTCCTCGATATCTTCGTATCCAAGGCCTAAAGAATGGTATAAAAGTTAACTTCATCACTAAAATACTATACACGTAATCGCGTTAAGAATAAAAATAAATTAACATAAGTGTTCCCACTAAGGTCCATCTATGAAATTTAACTTAAGCTAAGACTATGGGAGACAAAAAAAAATGTGAATCAACCGCCATGTGTTATTTGTACTGTACTAATACGCTCTTTATTAGTTTGAATAACAACATAAGCCAACTATTTTCATTTAAACCTTACAGGAAAATTAGTTGACTTCGGCTGAACAAGGGTTTATTTTCTGGTATCTTCATAAGTGATTGAATTAATGAATCACTCAGTCAGAAGACTAGTAACCAGGCCCAAATAAACATGAACTTCTAAAGTGGATCAGTGTAAACTTGTTCTTTTGACTGCTCCCTTTAGGGTTGCCACAGCAGATCATCTGCCTTCATCTCACCCTATTTCTCCTCTATCAAATCATCCCTCGACATGTCTTCCTTGGTTACATCCATGAATCTTCTCTGTGGGCTTCCTCTTTTGCTCGAGGCCTGGAAGCTCAATATTTAACACCCTTTGTACAGTATATCCACCAGCCCTCCTCTGCACATGTCCAAACCTTCTTGCCTCTTTAACTTTGTCTCCATACTATTCAACCTGAACTGTCTGATGTACCCATTTCAAATCTTGTCCTTTATGGTCAGTCCCAATGAAAATCTTAACATTAGATCAGACCAAATTAAAGAATGAAAATCAATTATATTAACCATGAGAATGTATTAACATGAGTGTATTATCAGACTAAATTAAACATGGCAGTACACTTATTTGGTACTTAAGCACTGTCTTGGACAAATGGTTTTGGCAAGCAGACCAGTTGATGTTGGATCCTGAAGTCAATCCCACAAGGCGGAATAATCAAGAAGTTTAATGCAAAAATGTTTTATTAACGCAGTATAATTGCAATGTGATTACCTTACATCATTTAAAAAAGAAACTCCAGTGCAAGATACATAAAAAGGAAAGGAAAAAGGAAAGTCATGTATTATTTATCTACTGAAAACTTGTAATTTACATACCTTTTGGCTAGGCAAACACCCGACCCTTTTTGAAACAGTGCATACCGATAAAGATGTTGTATGCCTCAGAACTCTTCCATTCGTTTATTCAACATTAATATGAACTAGCTGATACCAGAAGCTTCTTCATGATCTTGTAGATGAGCAGCTTTGACCACTCTTACATGCTCAGTTCCTTCAGTACCTTTCTTGGTACCTTTTCTGTTATGTACTGCTTATTTCAAACCTCCACACAAAAATACAGTGGGATTCGCTTCTAGGTTCTGACTAACCCTACATTTATTCTTTGTGTGCTCTTTTCTTGTTTAGGATCATTATCCTATAAAAAAAAAAAGTCCACATCTGCTTCAACCTAAGCTTTCAGACACATGGCCTCACATTACCTTCATGCGCCCTTTGATGTGAATTCATATTTGGATTGTTCATTATAAGCTGTGTGCTCCCAGAGGCAGTGAAATAAACCTAAGCCAGAACATTCTCGCCACAAATTGTATGAGGTTACATTGCCCCCCAAAATTGTCTTTGGTCTGGAAAAAAAAACAATCAAACCATGTTTACCGTTAGTGTAAGCAATGAACTCTATTTGTGCAGAAAAATTTATTCTAAAAGCCCTTGCCTTTGCATCTGTGTTCACCGACAAAATGTAGTTTTACTCTAAAATCCTCTTAGCCAAATTCAACCTTCCATGCAGCTTGATTTTATTCACTCTCTCCCTGATTGCAGAAAGATGCATTTTGACCCTTACAGTTACCTGTAGATGCTGATATAAAATTTCTGGCTTTTTAGAGACTCTTTCGAACATGAAACAGCAAACACTTTGGTGTAATTCGATGGAGCGGCCAATCCTGGACAAACTGATAGTTCTTTACATGTATAATACTACTTATTGTGGGATTATTTATTTCAGATAATTTGGAGATCTTGTTTAAATCACCTACCAGACATAAAAGCATACATAATAATTTTTCTAAAGGCTACAGAAATCTCTTTAGGTCTATGTACGATGACCACACAAAATACATAAACACCTCACCTTGTCACAGGTCATAGTCTGTAGGGATGCGTTTAATTTTCATACCGTTTTTCAAGATTTAAACAATGTCCTTTTTATATGTGAGCTTATAAAATTTATTCACAGGGACTGTATCAAAGAGGATGAAGTGTTTGCTTTTTCAAATAATGAAATGAAAAATGTTGAAAAAAATCAGACATAGATTTTTGTTTTTCTCGTGTCTGTAGCACTCTGTGAATCAAGTGCAGCAATCTTTAGCTCAGGAGCTCTCTGAGACATTCTTAAATTTGTTTACAACTTTACAAAACATGTTTCTTGAAACATTTGTCTATAAAAGTCCTGATAATTGTGCATTAGCATTTTTGTTGTGTCAGTCTACCGTCATATTCTTCACATGGGCTATGAAGCGCACAAAAAACAAGATCCTGTGAAATTCATGGCTGACAAAACTGACATTTTGCTCAGGCCTGTTATTGGGCTTATGCCATTTGAAGAGATTAAAAAAAAAGTCAGTGAAGGTCTCCAACTTGGTGTGGAAGGGTAGTAGTTACTGCACCATCTTTGGTATTGGGTTTGTCTTTGCCTTTCATGAAAAAGGTCAGCAGCTCGCCTTTCCCTTTGACATATATGGGCCCTCTTCGGATAAAACGAAAGCCGTACTCCTTCAGGATGTCATAGCAGTCCTCTACAACCTGAGGTCCAAGTAGAACATAGCATTTAGAAGAGATGGACACAATAAAAAGGATGCTTAAATTTGCTGCATCTTTGGTTTTGGGAACGTTTGGTTGTGCTACCTGAATGTTTCCCATCACTCCAGTTGACTCCATTCTGCTCGCCACGTTGACCGTGTTGCCCCAGATGTCATAGTGAGGTTTACGAGCTCCGATCACTCCGGCCAGAACTGCTCCTTTATTTAGACCTTAAGGGATCAAAAAGGAGACATGAACACATGTGCACATTTGCAGTTGGACACTCAGACTCACTCTCAGGTGCAAACACTGACCGATTCGTAGCATAAAGTTGTTGAAGGACTGCTTGTTGAGGTTGTTGAGGGTGACTTTCATGGCCAAGGCAAAGTCTGCCAGGTCAGCGAGGTGCTGCCAGCGCTCAATCAGCAACTGGTCCTCTGGCTGTAGACAACCAGTAAATAGCTCTTATAATTATTAGAATAATCACTTTAGATAAAAGGCTTCAACAGATTGGTATAGACATATAATGCTGATAGATTATCACACCTTGCGGTTGCCATATCCATTTGTGTTGCTTTCTGGTGTGAGGCCTGACGCGGCCATGTAGGTGCTTCCAATCGTCTTGATCTTAGTAATGCACCTGAACTCGTCCCTGTCTAATAACTGGTGGGGAAAGTGGACACTGATTAGTTTTACTTCCTGGTGTTAAGTTCATGCTTTGAGGTCACGTTTAGTTTAGTGTACGTTTAGTGTGCAACATTGCCAGAACTCACGCTGTCAAAGTCGGAGATTATCTCATTGAGAATCCTCAGACACTCAATGCCCCCGTTATTGATGCTCTCCTCAGTGTAGAAATCAGAAAAATTGGGGATGGATGCAAACATTACCCCTATTTCATCATACCCCTGGCTGTACAGCTCCTATACAAAACAAATGACTTGTTGGGTCATAAAAAACAGTTTTTAAGCTTATTGCTACTAATATGTAATTATAAGATGGGCCACAAGATGGCACAGTACAGCATCACCTGTGGTACCTTCATTACTTTAAGCTGCTTTTGAACAACTGTTTCTGCTGCTCACACAGAAGGTGTAAGCTCAAATGGTTTTAAATCGCAAAATGCTGTTTAATATGGCTTCTCCTCCATTCTCACTCATGTTGTTTTCTCTCCCTGACTCCTATGGTAACAAACTCAACATATATACCTCGTCTCTTTTTTTAGTGCCCAGAAAGTGTTTTGCCACATGCTCTGGCAGCATGTTGGTGACCAACGCTTCATTCCAGCGTCTCATTTCAAAGACTCTCTCTTTCTGATCGCGCACGCCAATCTTCCACAGAAATAGTTTCCTTGACTGTTGCTCCAGCTGCACACAGACACGCAACACAGACAGAATTAATGACATATTTTGAGAGAAACCTATTATGGAAAAATTAGAATTTTGTTGAATAACATTTTCTTGTTCTAACCCTCCGGGTGTTACATAGATGTGACACTCACGTGGCGTGCAAAGAAGTAAAAGCCAATCATCATAACAATAATCATCACTGTCATGAGGTACTTGGATGGCACTATCAATGTTCTGAAAATACAAAAGTGGGATACCATTAGAGACAATACTGTCATTAACAGTGCTGAAAAAAAGTAATTGGCCCCTTAACCCTTAACTGGTTGTGCCACCCTTGGCAACAAGAACTGCAATCAAGCATTTGCAATAACTGGCAAAGAATCTTTCACATCACTGTAGTGAAATTTTGGTCCAGTCTTCTTTGCACACTTGTTTTAATTCAGCTACACTGGAGGGTTTTCAAGCATGAACGGCCTGTGTAAGGTCACGCCAAAGCATCTTAAGACGATTTATGTCTGGACTTTGTCTAGGCCACTCCAAAACCTTCATCTTGCTTTCTTTGAGCCATTCAAAGGTGGATCTGCTGGTGTTTCAGATCATTGTTCTGCTGCATAACCCAAGTGTGCTTGAGCTTCATGGCAGGAATTCATGGTCAGACTTCAGGATTTTCTGGTAAAGAGCAGAATTCATGGTTCCATCAGTTACAGCAAGTTGTCCAGGTCCTGAAGCAGCAAAGCATCCCTGGACCATCATGCTACCACCACCATGTTTGGTGGTATGATGTTCTTTTTACGAAAAGTGTTAGTTTATACCAGATGGAACAGGACTCAAACGTTCCAAAAAATGTAACTTTTGTCTCGTCAGTCCACAGAATATTTTCCCAAACTTCTTGGGGATCATCAAGATGTTTTTTGTAAACTATGAGATGTTCTTTATCTTCTTTTTGGGTTATTATTACTCAAGTTAGCATTGTCTAATAACTATTAAAATTTGTTTGATCATATGAACTATGTAAGTATGACAAATCTGGAACAACCTAAAAAAAACAATAAGGAGTCAACTACTTTTTCACAGCACTGTAAACACAGCAGCAAATCCAACCTAAAGCAAAACACCCAGAATAACCTAAAAGAGACATCTATCGATGATTAGTCATTTCTCACCTGTAGGAGGCAAACTGCATGTAATCATACAGATCATATAGATCCCGCCAGCTGTAGATATTAACGGCTCCAGTTGCTGTGACAACCAGCACCATGAGGCCTAGTTTAATCAGGTGGCTCACTTGCACCAACATGGTTGTTGCAATGAGTGACATCACAGCCATGAAGCTGTAGTGCTTCGGATTATCTGCACAGCCTCCATCACCGAGCGACTCCAACATCGGACCAGACGTGCTGTTGAAGATCCGAAGGGATGGAGGTGCACAACTTAACTGCAACACAACGAAAAGAAAAAAATCCACTCACTCCAACTGGCAGAAAAATTGACAACTTCACGTTTTGAGCTAAAACTTGTGCCTATGTCGAGAATAACCCGAATACGACAACAGTAGTAGTAGTACTTCATTTTCTTCAAAGGGCGACTGTCACTTCTACATGACAGCCTAGCAGAGAAATGAACGCTCTCTTTAGCATCCGCTATTCTCTTCAGCTCACAAAGGCAGCAGCGTGTGTAGCAAGTTGCTCCTATGGGGCTGTGACAAATGAGCCAGCAGGCAGCAAGACGGACAACTAATAGACCCCACTGGGATCATACTGTCAGACGCATAAAAGGCAGCGATAGTCTGATGAGGACAAAGTAGGAACACACTTATGGAAAGTCGAATGCACACACACTCAGATTGGGAGCTATGATGTTGTACATTAATCCCAACTGGAATTTCCTGGAAACTGATTGTATGTGTTTTCCCGTTATGACATTAAGTTATATAACGAAATGACAAAAAAGTTCATCCATATTGCCACGATTACGGACATGCACACATGCAGTTTTACCAAGTTTCTTGAAGTCGTACCATGTCAGCGATCACAGCCATGGTTAGAACAAATATGCTTGCCATGGCCCACGTGTTTCTCGCCCATCGTGTGCGATCAATCCACATTGAGAAAGACACCAACCTCTTGGAGAACATCTGTGATAAGAAAATGTTAAAAAGGTGGCCATCTTTTATATAGTGTAGTGTAAACTGTAGAACTTTCATTCTGTCCTGTGTGACAATAAAATCAGTACTGCTTTGAGAAAAATTCCTTATCAATTGTAAAAACCAATCAAAATGCTAAATATCACTTAGCTAAAGCCCTGCGAGAATAAATTTTTTACAGGACTGAATTCAGTGCTCTGAAAAGCTAAGTACACCCTTAATGCTTCCATAGGACTTAAGACCTTAAGAAGCAGCAAAGTGCTGCAAATCAAATGCACATGATTAGCAAGTGTGAGCACCTCTATAAAAGCAGAGGTTTCGTCAGCTTGCTGATTTGGAGCATTCAGGTGTGTGTTAACACAATGGCACAATCTTTCCAGTAGTGGACGTCCCAGCAAATTCACCCCAAGGTTAGACTCTGCAATTCTCAGAAAACTGCAAAAAACATCAACAAAAAACCAGGAGCTACAGTACATCTCAGACTCTACAGATCTCAGTTAGCATGTTAAAGTTCATGAGAGACCATTTAGAAATAGACTGAACAAGTAGATCTTATTTGGAAGGGTTGCCAGCAAAAAGCCTCTTCTCTAATTGCAACTTAAAAATAACACAAAACTTCTGGAACAACATCCTTTGGACTTTTGGACATCAATATGGAGATGTACAGCTGTATTGCACAAGACTATATTTGGCAAAAACCAAGCACAATATATCAGCATAAACACCCCAACTGTCAACCACAGTGGTGGAGGAGTGATGGGCTTGTTTTGCAACCACGGGACCTGAACACCTTGCAGTCACCGAGTTGACCACAAACTCCACTGTATAGCAAAGTTTCTAGAGTCCAACTGGGTTGTTCAACAGGATGATCCAGGCACAGCAGCAACAGAAAAGCTGAAAAAGAAAAGAATCAAGGTGCTGCAATGACCTTGTCAAAATCCAGACTTCAACCTGACTGAAATGCTGTGGCGGGACTTTAAGAGAGCTGTGCATGAACAGTGCCCAAGAACCTCAATGAACTGAAGTAACATTGTATAGTAGAGTGGGCCAAAGTTCCCACCCAATGATGTGAGAGACTGATAACATCAGACTGTTACTTCAAGGTATTGTTGCTAAGGTTGCTCTAAAACCTATTGAATCATGGGGTGTACTTAGTTTTTCACATCACCATAGTTTTTAGGCTCTACATTATTGTTAGAGAGCTTTGAACATACTAATCAAAGGCATTTAGCAATTAATTGGTTACCATTGTCGACAATTTACAAAAAAATTACGTTTCCTTTTAAAAAAAAAAATTCTCACCCTGGGGAAGATGGCTGCCAGGGAGCATACTGTGAGTATTAGCAGCAATACCTGTCCTACTGCGAGAGTCACATAGTTCACAAACAACCTAGAAGGAGAACACACATCATCAGACAACGTCCTACAATTTCTAATAAATTATCATGTGCTATCACTACAACAATACATTGGCCAAGGAGTCAGTCCCAGCTGTTACAGGGTGAGAGTCGGGGTATACCCAGAACAAGTGTATAGCAGGGCTAACACAGGGAGACAGACAACCACACATGCTCATACTCATTTAGTATCACCAATTCACCTAACATGGAAGTGTTTGGACTGCTGGAGGAAACCGGCACAGTTACACGGAGAACATGCAAACTCCACATACAAAGGTCTGCTGGGAGGTGATGGTGCTGCACCGCTGTGACACATACATGATACATAAACTCACAGTGGGTCTATGAAGACCTCCATTGCTGTGATGAAAAGGAGTACGATCATGCAGCAGGAGAAGGCCGCTCCGCTCCTCCTCTCCTTCTCTGAGGAGTAGTGGTCCTCCAACTTTCCATCCACAAAACGGAGAGAAACGGGGTTGATCTCATGATCCTTCATTCTGTCAAAAATGCAGTGAGATTTAGCAGGTAGAAAAGAACATTTTGAAGGACATGGATACTAAAAAGGGGGGATGGGACACCGATTGAGGAGATGCATGTGGGTTACTTCACTGAGTTTGTTTCTTTTCAATTCCTGGAACACCGAATCCGATTTCTATGATTTAGTCTTTAAAATGAATCCTTTTATTGCACTTTTTCAAATTAAATTTATTTAAAGTTTCTTTTTTCTTACATTTTTTGAGTCTCTCTCTCCAGCAGCTCCTGCTGGAGTCGTCTGTTGATGGTTTGTTCCTCGGCTCTGTTAGTCATCTAAGGTTGCCAGTAATGCAAAGAGAAACGCATCAGATACAGACAACATTACCAAGTGAAGCTTTCTCTTTTATAATTGAAAGAAATAATTCACATAATTTATCTTTTTATAAACATATAGATAGGCCTTACTCATGTATACACAAGTAACAACACACTTTAATCTTTGGTTACTGAAATGATGACCGGCAGCTGTAATTCACCTCCTTTTTAGACTCAGTAGGTGTGGACTGTTGTGAGACTGCATTCCCATTGGATGCTGTGGTGTTGATCAACTGTTTGGAATTTCTATTGGTCAATGTACCAGGTGTCTGAGGAGGAGAAGCAGATACAACATCTGTTAATATTACATCAATAACAAAAAATGTTCATTTAATTGATTTGATTTATTTTGTATGGGATAAAGGAACAAGACACTCACATTTCCATTGAGTCCATTGGCTTTCTGCTTAGGAACTAGAACTAAGTAAGTGTCAATGCCTTTCTCCAGCAGGTACTCACACCTCTCTCCACCATTCCCCGGCTCCAGGTCAAATTCCCCATGCAGACTGTCTTTTGTGGTCTGGGAAATATGCACTCTCCTAGATAGCATACAAAACTGTGAATTTTAGAAAAAAAAAAAAGAACTGCTCTCAGACACACACTACGCAGACACCAAGGAAGCGCACAATTTTCCTACCCAGGAATCCCTCCAGATTCCATTTTATTGGCCACAGTGACATCTGTGGACCAAACATCAAACTGCCAGCGTTTCTGCCCGAGTACTCCTCCCAGCACGGTGCCGGTGTGGACGCCCACGCGCATGTCAACCTCTGTTTGTGTCTTTTCTCGAACGTACCTAGACCATGAGAGAAATCAGGGGGTCACTGGAAAATTAACTGTTGCTCATATTGTTAAGCAGCTTTAAAATTTTAATTGAGCCTTTCCTCTCTAGTTTTTTTCTCTCTATGTGGTGACTTCCTTTCTCCATTATTTTGTCTAAGCTTTTTTTTTTTTTTTAAATTTACAGTTTTAATTCTAATGTTTTAATAATAATGTTTTCATTGTGTTTTCCTCCCCTATTCCTAATTAGTAAAGTCACTACTTACGAGATGGCTTTTACCATAGCCAGGCCCATCTTTATAGAACACACGGCATGGTCCTCCCTGAAGTCAGGAACACCACAGATGCAATAGTAACAGTCTCCAAGAATCTTAATCCTCAGCTGATGATGTTCCTGTAATGTGAGATCAGACACGGATGTTTACCTCAATAACAGAAAGGTACTGATACTATAACTCAGACAATCCAATAATGTCATTTTATAGTCTCATAAACACTTCTCAGAACATAATTCAGAAAAAAGATGTTTGTAGAAATCAAGAAATTGTGTCATCTCATCGCTTTGTCTGGCAGAGTGGCTTGAGTTCTAATTCACAATATGCAGTGGTCGGTTAGTTTATAACTTTGAGAACCGCTAAGACTTTAAGTAAGGGGTGAGTCTGCTTCAATTGACAGGTGTGCACACACAGAGCTGTAGCTGATGACTGTCTGCTATTAACTGGACCTCTACACACTGTGTATAGCATTTTCGAGGAATTATCTGACAAATAATATTACTTCTTGTGTTGTACAAATCACCCAAAAGGTTTGCGCTTCAGTTTTGGTGAGCATATTTTTCATATTTTATAAGCCTGTTACTTAGTTAGCAGTAATTAGCATATATCTGTATCTGCTGTATAGTTTATGGATGTAGCCTGCTAACCAAACTTGTTAGCCCTCGCTGATGACTCAGCGTATACCCATTTCCAAACCAACATGGTGGCAGTCAAAACATTAATGTTGAGGTTTTAAAATGTCTAAAACCAATGGGTGGTGTCATGGTGGCTACTAGCTTTACAGAGTCTGTCTGTGCACATGTAGCAGAGTAGCATTCCAGCCAAGCAGAAACTGGGTGCTAACTACAATGGAGGCTAGAGAATAAGTTATTAATGAGGTTGTTACACCAAGTCAAGCTAGCATAGAATTTTGTTACATTTCTACCAAAAATAATTCAGAAATATCCAGTAGTAATATTTCTTAACAATAGACTCACTGACAACTTTATTAGGCACAGCCGTTCAACTGCTTGTTAATACATAAGTTCAAATGGAGCATCAGCATGGAGAAAAAGTTTGATTTAAGTGACTCTGAAGGTGGCATGGTTGTTGGTGTCAGACAGGCTGGTCTGAGTATTTCAGAAACCGCTTATCTACTGGGATTTTCCCACCATCTTTAGAGTTTACAGAGGAAAAAAAGAAAAATATCCACTGAGCAGCAGTCCTCTGGACAAAAATGCCTTGTTAGTTTTAGATGTCAGATGACAAACAACACATCTCTGGAGGCACAACAGATCTAACCTCGAAGAAAACTGGACAGCAGCAGAACACCACACCGGGTGCCACTGCTGTCAGCTAAGCAGAGGAAGCTGAGGGTACAATTAGGCTCAACAAAAAGACTGAGAAGTTGTTGCCTAATGTGATGAGTCTTGATTTCTGCTGTAACATAGGGCTGGTAGGGTCAGGATTTGGTTTAAATAACATGAACGTATGCATCCAACGTATGCATCCTTGTATTGTTAGTGTAATGGTATGGAGGACATTTTCTTGCCAATCTTTGTGCCCTCACTACTAATTTAGCATTCTTTAAACTCCACAGCCCACTAGAGTATTGTTACTGACCATGTCCATCCCTCTATAACCACAGTGCACCCATCTTCTAATGGTTGCTTCAAAGAATGTCACAAAGCTCAAACAATCTCAAACTGGCTTTTTGAACATGCCAATGAGTTCACTGTACTCAACTGGTCTCCACAGTCACGAGCACCTTTTGGATGAGGCAGAACTGAAGATTTGCAGCTGACAAATGTGGATCAAATGTGTGATGTTATCATGTCAGTATGACAAAAAGTCTCTGAGGAATGTTCCAGCACCGTGTTGAAACCACTCTGATACTCACTGCTGCCAGTTTATCAAAGCGAGCAAACAGTTCATTGAGCAACTTTACAAGCTCCTGGGCGCTGCAGGCTGAGGACAACTGGGTGAAGCCCACAATGTCTGCAAACAGGATGCTGCAATAAAAGTGGATGATTAAAAATAATGTAACACTTTCTTGTTGCAAAAAATATTGTGAAACAGATGTTTGATCAAATTAAAAAGTCATTTTTTTTAGTGATCCAGACCTAACGTTTTCATGGCGGTACATGTACATGGTGTTGAACTGCTGCTGCTGCCGGACTTCGTTCTGATTTGCCTGGTTCTTCATGCCCTGCAGCATCTCATCAGCAATGTGTTTGGGCAGGATGGACAGTAATAGTTCCTCCTACATAGAGCAAGATTTGAAAGAAGGTGCGAGATGTGAGAAATAGGAAAAGAAAAGTCATCCCTATTTCTGTATGTGTAAAGAAAGTGTACAAATTTACATTTTATTTTCCTCTTAGCTCTCAAGAATCCCGTCAAGTGGTCAGATATGTCCTAACTGGCTGGTTGTTTTCCATCTTTGACCCAGTCTCCCACTGAAAAGGCACAGTGGGAATACTATCTCTCCTCTGTCTCTTCCTTTTGTCTTTTTGCCTCCCCATCCGTATCCACACGTCCCTCGCTTTTCACCATCTTTTCCGCCCCTTTTTCAAAGAACTCTCAAGAGTCTGCTGTCTTTGTTTTGCAAATAGTCACAGGCAGGCGTGACAGTGTCTTAAAGGGAAGAATTAAATGCTTGGTGACAATAACTGCACATTTGTATCATCTTTCAATCTGTGATGATGGTGAGCAATTGCCAGTTTTTTCGCAATTTGCGATTGCTGTTAGATACATTACCGCCATTTCTTTAATTTAACACCTCTTCTAGCTGAGATAAGCCTTCATAACAGATTAATATTGATGCCACAGAAGGTAAAGCATGGCATAGTGGCTGTAAGGAACACAAAAGAGCAAGCTTAAAGGATTTACAGCAAAATGGTGACCTGAATGCAGCTTGAGGTTTGATTAAAATGAAGAAGTAATAAACAGGCTAACATATAATAAAAAGTGTAAAAACATAATTCCTTTTTAAAATGCTTCATTGGGAAACATGTCCTCATGTCTGTTGGCTGGCAAAGTGCTAAAGGGACCTTATTGTGTCAGGTCCCTGACGGTGGCTGCGCTGGTGAAAACAACCGCCTCTCTAACAACCTATTAGTCCTGAGCTGAGCAAAACATCCTGTAATTAATCAGTGTGTTGCATCTCACCCTTCTATTTGTGTACTTGTGCATTTGTGGATTTGTTTGGCCAAAAATAAGAAAATGTGTTCACTCACCAAAGAAAATGTGCACGTGGGCATGGGTAATATACCTGCTGAGTGCTCTGCTCCTCCAGTGTTAGTTTCACCTCCAGTGACTGACGAGCTTCCAAAAATGCTGTCCTGTACTTCCTGTCTGCCATGTAGTACGACATCACACCCACTATGATGGCACACAGGTACAGCACCACGTTGGCTAGCAACTGAAAAAGAGGAGAAAAGTGCCACAAAAGTGTTTGTGTGGACAATAATAATATGCATTATAATAAAGAGTATATTTATAAATATTATTATAATTTCATCATCATCTCAACTGCTGAAATGAATTTACCAAATATGGGTAAACAAAGCATTTATCTTAGCTTATATATAAGAGAAACCTAACGTGTGAATATGATGTGTGTATATATTGTATTTATATATGTTTATATTATTTCTACATTGAAGTGGATGCCAAATTTCATTTTTATTTGAGTAATGTACTTTTCAGTGACAATAAATTGAATCTAATCTAAAGATCAGTTTGTGGAAACTGACTTTTAACTTTTAGATGCAATTTTGTTTCCAAATTGCTCAAAACAACATTATTTGGGATGTAGTGCAATCACACATGGTGTATTCATATGCACTCTCATTATAAATTGAGACTGCGTTTAAAATAATATTATATCTGACTTGTATATATTTACCTTTGGGGCCCTAAAACCAAGTGTGGCAAAAAGACAATAAATGTGAATGGAAGGAAATTAGTTTGCATTAACAAAACACTGCACAAAATCGAAAAAACAAAGGGGTTTTATTTAACGCAGTGAATTATGAATTTATTTACTATGCATAATCCAAACCCACTTTACCTGTCACACCTCTCCACTTGGGTATTAGGCCCTGAAACAGTGTGAGGCCCCTTAAATTTTGCACTGTTTGCATAATGGTCTTACTGTGGTGCCAGTGCTCTAGCCTGGTGAAGGGCTGGTGCAGCCTAGTAAAAAGAAAAACTTACAACATGCATAAATTTGGGTCCTGGATGGGAACCACTGCCCTAGAATCAAATGTACACACATCTAATATCGCACTTTCTGCTTTTCTTTTTTGTTGTTGTTTGTTTTGCATTCACAAACGTTTTAAAGTCCTAGCTGCTTTATTCCTTGTGAGTTTACCAGACATTTACCTGTCTGACCAGCATCGCCCCCTGCGCGCCATCCTTAAACTTCTGAGCCACCGTGATCCCCAAAACCAGAGTGTGAATCCCGCACGAGAGGACAGCGAGGAGAAGCAGGGCCACCAGGTTCAGTGGCAAAGTTAGAAAGCAGGAGAAAATGAAGAAAGTCTGCCAGCCCACCGAGTCACTAGCATGTGGGAAGCGCTCGTAGTTTAGTCCCATGTAACACAAAACATGCACGGTGACCATCAGCCACAGTATGTAGGCCACTGCTCCGCGCCACACAGGTGATGCGGGGAGTTTCTGCAACCAGCACAACACGTAGAGCGCAACGTCCGCAGTCAGCCCCACAGCTGCCACCACCACCATCGCCAGTTTGTCCTCAGTGTACACAACCGCACACATGATGATGACGAAGCTGTTGAAGAGAGCGGCGAACATCACCAGCACTAGCAGGTTCTCCTGTCTCTGCCGACGGAAGTAGTTCTGATAGAGCCTTTCCAGCGACTCGGGGGTAAAGGTGAGGCGCACTGCGCGGGGCAGGCAGCGGCAGCAGCTGGACTGCACTACGGTCACTTCACGCCTCCGACCCACGTCACGGCCCGGATCACTGGAAACCTGGGCCGAGTACTCCACCGAGTACTCTGCAGACTGCTCCGTGTCCATTGTGCGGACCCGGTTCAGAGACATGCTTCTTTGTTAAAGGTTAATCCTCTTGGTTAGTGGAATACTGTTACAACACTAATGTGAAAATCCACGGAAAAGTTGTGACGTGCCCCATTACTTTTTGATTTTTTTTGCAGCTGACCGCATGATCAAAGTTTTCATGATTTTTAAAGGCTCTTCCAAACGAGACAAAAACATTTAAATCAGAAAATAACTCCATTCCATTCTTCAGTTCAGTCCCACCATGAAAAGTGGCTTACCTTTTAATTTAGAGTTAGTGCCTTCAAATACAAAAACACATTTAAGATAGAGGAGATTCTCAGAGCCTCTAGTTCCCAAGCAGGTGAAGTCTCGTTTGTCATTGTTGTAGATCTACTAAATCAATATCAATGCAAAATATAATATTTTCAGAGAGACTTCTGTAAGCTTTACTCTGGTTACTTTTATCTGCCTAAACACATCAGTTCTAAGATGCTCTTCCGTCTTCTGATCATTTTCTGTCTCTCTCCTGCCTCCCCCCTTCTCTGAGTGCTTCTGTTACTGTTGCTAAGACGAAACCAAAGAAACTGCCAGCGTGCAGTCATGTCTTGGGAAATGTGGCAGCGATGCTGTGAAGAGCTTAGAAAAAAAGAAGAAGAAAGAGGACGATTAAGGTCACTGAAATAAAAAAAAAAGGAAAGCTTTCTAATGTTTTTATTTAACACTGGTATCCACAACAGATACCATGCCTTATGACACTGGATTTAATGTTTTTGCCTCAAGTTTTTTACTTGCAAAAATGCAACACAAGAACATTTACAGACAGATGTAAACTTAGGCGTCAATCAGTCTCTGTGAGCATTTGTGGTTGGTGGTGATTTTCCTATCATGCCGCTTAGAGCGCTCCCCAAAGCCAGCACTATGGCCGTTAGGACTCCCACAGTCCCCAGTTTCCCCAGAGCTGCAGTGCCCAGCGCTGCAGCCCCAAGTGCCCCGGCTCCAATAGGTGCTGCTGCTGCGGTGACAGTTTCCATGCCGATTTCTTTTATTAGCACAGGCCCCGTGAGGAGGCCCCTTTGCAGATTCACCTCAGTGTGGAACGGGCTCTTTGGTGCACCCAGAACAAATGCCCCTACCGCAACAAGGGTGATTGTTACAAGTTCTGATGCGGTGAACGGACTTGCTTTAAGTAACTGGCATTCTGCTGCCACAACTGCACCGATGATGACAGAACCTAAAACTGCTAAAGTTGAATTCCTTGACTGAAATGCCCATCTTGCTGCAACACTTGCGGCTCCAAGTGAGACCCCTGCAGCTGTGGCCGCCCCTAGCGTCCCTGCTGTGCTGCCTCTGGCCCCTAGAGAGGAGCTCCACTGCAGAATGGCTCTCAAAGCCACTGATGTCATTATAGCAACTCCCAAAGCGACCTTTCCAGCCACCTCTGGACCCAGTCCGACCATGGCCACAGTTCCCAGGCCAGCTCCAAGCAGCGCCGCAGACAGATAGGCCACCCAGAGGACTGACTGCAGCATCACAACAACCTCTTCTTTTGACCCGTCTACTGCTTCACCTGCCCCTAAACCCACAAAAAATCCCAGAATCCCCACAAAAACAGAGTAGAAGAATATTCTCTCCAGCAGTTTGCACCCAGTTTTAGATTTGGGTCTTCGAGGGACTGTTAGTAGCCTTCGAAGGACAAAGAGGACAACGATAGTCAGAATCATGCTAATGAGTCCAAAAAAGGCTCCCAACTGTCCATACACTACACTGAGGTATAGAGTGGTGAAGATGATCAACAGAGCTGTGGTCATGTCGTTAATGTTGGAATACGAGTAGACGAAAAGGACCAGAGCACCTTGCACCACAATGTAGATCCACGGTGGAAGGACGCCCACTAACAATCCAGTAGTGACAGCACCTACCACAACAGAGGCTCCTGTTGTGGCCTCTGCTAACCAGGGCAGTCTCACTCCAACTTTACTCAACAGTGTCATCACCATGGCAGCGAGGAGGAAACCACTTCCAAGACATAAGAGTACCGAGGTGAACACGAGGCATGCCATCACTACTGCAACACCAGTGGAACCGGCCCGTCCAGCAGCCAGAGTTGCAACGTTAAGCAGGAGGCCATCTTCAGTCAGAGTGGGTTCAACTGCAAATAATGCAGCTTCTCCGAACACAAAACCTGCTGCTCCACTTCCAACGAGGGCTGACACCACACCAAAAACACCTGAAATAAAAAAGGAGTTAAGTCAAGTACTGTCTACTGTTTTACACTTGAAAGCAAATGTAAGCACTTCTAAGTATATGCATTCAGTTTGTATTACTCTAGTAGTCATCTGGAATAAGGTTTCCTTTCTAGAAAAGTGTTTTCATCCCACAAAATTTTACCTGACTTCATAAAACATAAACAACCACTAGAAACTAAAAAGGGATTTGTTCCTCATTACATTGCTTCTCTGTTATATTTAAGAGGGGAAAATAGAGTTGTAGTCAGAAGTTGAGATCCACTTATCATGGGCAAGCATGTCATAATCATTTTGGGTTTGTAATGATTTCTTAGACTTTCTTTTTCCAGGGTGTAATTATTGAGCAGCATACATTATTAATGACTGCAAATACAAGAATTGGGTGCACAAGTTTGAATTGAAGTTTGAATCTCGAGTCCACACAAGGCAAATATATACATACACAATCATCTTTTAATAAGTGGTGCTCAACGTCTTTACTTGAGAAGGTAAAGGCTTATCAACTTCTCGTTGGTGATCATGATTGACTATAACAAGCAATTTCTGTTTTCTAGCTTAAAAAGGATTTCAGAATTCACTGGATTGACAAGTTGAGGTCTGTTAAAGCCATTTCTAAACAACCTCAGATTTCAAGTTCATCAGCTCAAACAATGCTATTTAAGTATAGAGTAAAAAGTGTCACCACTTTGCCAAGGTGTGAAAGAAGACCCAAACTGTCACCCTCAGATGAGAGGAAATAGGTTAGGATGTTCAGAAATAACCCAGGAACCACAAAGGCTCAAGCCTGCCATGAACAGGAAACTGCATCACCAGTGTCACTATCCACAGTGAAGCCAGTTTTACATCACCATGGGTGAGAAAACCCTGCTTCAAAAACTAAAATTGGCATCTGCCAACATGGACAAGCCAAATGCCTTCTGGAGGCAGGTTTTATGGCAAAACGAGATAAAGACTGAGATATCTGGCCATAGGGCTGTTCGATATAACGATATATATCGGTGATGATATAAAAACATCTATCGTTTGATTTTACGCTATCGTTTGTTTCGTGGTGTTGCAAAATAAACTGTTTACGACAATATTTTTTCATCCTTCTGATGGTCACTGTAGTGGCTATATTAATTTCTTAAAGTTCTCTCTTTCTCTTATATTTAATATAACCACACTACTGACGGATAAGCGCCTGTTTTTATGCGCGACGGTAACACCTTCGCCTGTCCGCTTGTATATGTTCCACATAAACCTTTCACAATAAAGCTCAAGATCCTGTTGAGACTTTTCAAAATAAACTGAATCACGTGAAAGAGCAGATTATTTACGGATGAGAAGTAAAAAAGAGCCGCCAGGTGCTAAAAAAAATAAACCAAACGTTAGAACAGGCAACCCGCAGCACGCCGTGTAATAAATACAAAGAAAACGGCGGCCGTTACAACTTATGTCTAAAAATGTATAGTTTCATGCATCTGTTAAAACACTCGACTCCGGGTAAAGGACGCGCAGCTGGAAACACTTCACGCAAGTCGAGCTGCCCGAGATTCACAGAATTTACAGAAAATGTTAAATTTTTGTGATTTATATCGTTATCAGGACGATAGAATTCTTATATCGGGATATGAGATTTTGGTCATATCGCACAGCCCTATCTGGCCACAGTTACAAGACACATAATTGGAGGAGTAAAGGTGAGGCTTTCAAGAATGCTGTACCAACTGTCAAGCATGGTGGTGGTAGCATCATGATCTACTGCCAGTGGTACTGCCACGTTGCACAAATCGGGTGTTCCAACTGGACAACAATCCGCAAAACACACCAAAACTGGTTTCGGAATGGATAAAGCAGGCTAACATTAATAATCTGGAATGGTCTTCTAAAAGTGCCGACCTCAACCATGTCAAAAATGTGTGGACTATGCTTGAATTCCAGTTCTGTGTCAGTAAACCAACCACCTGAAATGAACTCTAATTTCTTCATAAAGATTCAAATATCCAGCCAGAATTGTGTCAGAAGCTTGCTACCAAAAGCATGTGGTGGAAGTGTAATATTAGTCGAGATGTATGTATATATATTTGAGTTTGTATGTACTTTTGACTGTGTGTGGATCTGAGAAAATTCAAAAGAACATTTTGTACTCAATTCTTGTTTTTAAAAGTTGTTAAAGATGTATGCTATACAATCATTCCACAGTAGAAAAAATAGTTCAAATGGAATCTTCATAAGCCCCAAATTACCATGTAACTCATACCCATGATGACAGTGATCACAAATGCAGGTTTGACTTCACTTGTTTATCTGACAGCTACAATTTCAGGAAGTTGAAACTAGGAAGTCTGTTTATTTCAGTTGGCCCATTATTTGCAAGAGGTCACCACGGGTGGATTAAATGCTATTATTTATGTGTAATGTTCCACATTTACACTGCGATACTGCAAGTTTGCTAACTTGTATGCGGAGATTGTTCTGCACATGCGCAAACCAGCTCCTGTCACTTTAAAGGGAAAATGAAAACGAGTGGACGACAGCAAGTTGAAACCAGGAAGTCTGTTTAAACGCAAAAAAGGACAAAAAAAGTTTCAACAGACCAGCTACCCACCCTGAAGTCTATATCAATAGAGACCGTTTTTTACCAAATGAGAGATATTAAACCCTCGTCTGCAATTGTTTTCATTTAGTTAGCTCTGGAGCATGCCTGCAGTTTTTACATCCGTGTGATATAACCATTGGGTCCAGTACATAAAGGTAGCTGCTGTATAGATTTTTAATATACTGTTTAAACCCCTAGTTTATTTAATTTTAAGTAGTTTTTGCAGCTTAGTATCTTACCCAGGCTTGCGTCTGCCATGTTTCCCTGTGTAGCAGCTCACAGGTTTCACCGTTTCCTGTTCGATGTCACGTTTGACACACCGTGGTCTGAGCCAATCAGAAAAACACAAAAGCTGCGCGTGTCAGTGCGTCACCCTAATAGTCCAGTGTAAAAAAACAAACAAAAAACAAACATTAAACAACTGTAACATATACAGTAATATACAAATCTTTTGGGCCATCTTTTATATTTTGCTTCAAAGCAGCCTGAATTTCGTCCTTTTTTAAAGCTTTCTAAACGTTTTTCAGAATTTTTCTTTGTACATGAGCTACAGCAGAACGCTGCTGCAGGATTTATCATCTATGAATTTTTAGCAACTTTCGAAGCAACTAAATCCAGGTTTTGTGGTTCCAAATTTTGTATTCCAAGTGCTCTTCCTGCCGGATGTGGATATGTTTACATATTTGCTGTAATAATTCTAATAATAGAACTTCCTCTCTGAGGAAGAAGCAGTAGTTATTTTGTTCATCACATATAGACATCACCAGGATTGTAACTCCAAATGAGAGGTGAAGGCTACTACAATCTATGGCTTTTATGAAACAACATTGTAAGAATGATTTGATAACATTTAACATCACCTCATTAAACATAAACAGTTCGAAACTGGAATAGGTGGGTTTTTTTTGTTAGATCAAATTAGCTACAAAACTGAGGTAAATAAACCGCAATTACAGGTCTCCCCGGCGGTTTTTCTCTCTATTGCTTCCTGGTTTGTGGTCAGCTGATAGGGTTCCTTTGTCACGTGGCCCCCACTTCCTTGTCATGTGTACTTTTTTGTATATTCCCCCACAGTAGGACCGAGCGGATTTTCTTTTATCACAGTATTTATTTAAAGAAGTGAGGGAGAGACCAGAGCACAGAATCGGACTGCAGGAGGCTGAGCTCTTGGTCTTATTTGCTCTGTCTAGCTTTCAGTTTCCAAGAGCCGTGATCGGACTTCAGTGAGTTCAGCTTTTCATTTCATACATTTATTCAGCAAATCCCTTCGTTTAAATCATTTAAACGTGTATTAGATTCCCTGCGTTTTAAATTGCTAGAATAATTGTTGTCTATGCCAGATTAGTTATACGTAATAAGCTACCGTCAAGTTAGTGTTTATAATACAAAAAACTCGCTTGAGATCGAGTGTTGCGTATTTACAAGAACCAAATGACGATCATGTTGCGAACAGCTTTTATATTCTAACTTTTATTTAGCAGAACATCGTTTATATAAGCATGTGATTTTTATTTGGTCATCTGACACAATCAGTTTATTTCACTGGTAAGTCATCGAGCAGGTTGTTTTGCGTTCACACCCATGTCAGGTGATTTCTCGTCAGGTGCTGCAATCATTAACCTGTATTTGCCCTTTAGTCTTCTGGACGTACTCTTCTGGCTCATCTTTGACACACTGCACTAACATCTGATTCAGCTTGTAATTTTGTATTTGCAGAAATGCATGTTGCAGTGCTCTTATTTGCCTTTGCGCTCACTGGGACCACTTTGGCCCTTGACAATGGACTGATGAGGACCCCTCCCATGGGGTGGTTGGCATGGGAACGATACCGATGTGATATTGACTGTGAAAACGACCCAAAGAACTGCATCAGGTAAGCCAAAATTTTGAATGTGTACCACCAGGCTTGATTGTATTGAAAACTTAAAAGGTATTTAGGTATTATAACTATAATGGTCTAGTCTCAGTTTTATAGCGATATAATAACAGGATATAACAAAAGCCAGTAGAAGCAGTTGGTTTGAACAGAATATCTAATAGATATGGTAGTGCTCTTTACACTCTTTACACTCTTATCTTCAAATAGTCAGATGTCTATTCTTATTAATGTACAGAATTCACCTGCTTGCTGCCACTACTGCACATTCACCAAATGTATATACTATATATGTATATATAATGTTCCTCCCCCCCCCACCCACCACCATTCTTGCACATGTCGAGGAGGATGTCAGGTTACATTCCATTAATATAATAATAATAATGGATACTTTATTGATCCCCATGGGGAAATTACTTGTTTTTCTCTGCATTTGACCCATTCACTCAGTGAAGCAGTGGGCAGCCCACTAAGCAGGCGCCCGGGGAGCAGTGTGTAGGGACGGTACCTTGCTCAGGGGTACCTCAGGGTAGCCGTTAAGTGGATTCGAACCGCCAACCTTCCGATCATGGGGCGACCACTTTACCTACTGAGCTATCCCTGCCCCAGCCCCATTGTGTGTTATACAAGTATAACTATGCATGTGACAAATAAAGAACCTTGAACCAGTATCAGTGTAAATAGGAATGCGATTGAGACAATTATGAAACATCTTTGTCCTTCTTCCAGTGAAAATCTGTTCATGGACATGGCAGACAGACTTGCAGAGGATGGCTGGAAGGAACTCGGCTATGTCTACGTGAACATAGATGACTGCTGGTCTTCCAAACAAAGAGACGATCAGGGACGGCTGCAGCCTGATCCTAAGAGGTGCAGTATTTGCTGCGTGAGCACAAAGACCATTGTAAACATATATCTGTTATTGGCCAACAGTCAGTGAAGTAGTGTGACAGTCATACAATCATGTGAAAAGCAAAACACAGTACTCAGGAGATTGATAGCAGGTGTGTTTTAGTGTCAGCACAAATATGAATTTTCACTTCCCTGGAAAGTGCAAAAGGAAATTGGGTTACAGGATTAAAAAAAAATCATGCTGTGGTTACAAAATGAAAGCTGAAGGCTTTTTTAAAATGTGTGTGTTTGATATTACTCTTTCAGGTTTCCAGGAGGAATCAAAAAGCTGGCACACTACTTGCATAACAGAGGCCTAAAGCTGGGCATCTATGGGGACATGGGCAAACTCACATGTATGGCCTACCCTGGCACACCGCTGGATAAGATCGAATTAGATGCTCAAACATTTGCAGACTGGGAGGTGGATATGTTAAAATATGACGGCTGTTACTCTAATGCCATGGAGCAAGAGCTGGGTAAAAACACAAGACTGAACCTTTTCTGTGTGGATAATAAGATATTGCTGATTGGACCTCATTTGAGATCTCCTGTTCACTGTTTTGAACAGGTTACCCTCTCATGTCAAAGGCTTTAAATGCTACAGGGCGTCCCATTGGCTATTCCTGCAGCTGGCCTGCCTACCAGGGTGGGCTGCCACCTAAGGTACGATTAAAATCCAAAATACTTTTTGATGTTTTGTTCGAATCCTGTTCTAATACTTAGTATTTGCTTCTTCACTATATGAAACTGATGCGTGTTTTTAGGTAAATTACACTCAGCTGGGTGAGATCTGCAACCTGTGGCGTAACTATGGTGACATCCAGGACTCTTGGGACAGTGTACTGAACATTGTTGACTGGTTCTTTGAAAATCAGGACGCCCTGACACCTGCAGCAGGTCCTGGAAGGTGGAACGACCCTGATATGGTTTGTTCAATTGAAATTTCTTACTGTCTCCCCAAATATAAACATATTTATTATAATAATAATAATAACAATAATAACAATAATAACAATAATAATGGGGATTTTAACCACGCGGACCTGAAATCTGTACTTCACAATTTCCACCGTAATGTGAAGTGTGCTACCAGAGGAGATAGAACGTTGGACCAGGTGTACACCAACATGGCGAATGCGTACAGAGCCCAGGCTTATCCCCACCTGGGTCTGTCAGACCATCTCTCCCTTCTGCTACACCCAATATACACACAAAAGATCAAGAGCACTGGGATTACAACCAAAACCGTGAGAACATGGCCGCAGGATGCTATTCCGATGCTTCAGGACTGTTTCCACTGCACAGACTGGGATGTATTCAAGGTGCAGGACACTGACAATCGTGTCGCATTGGACAGTTACACCTCCACTGTCTTGGACTACATCTGTTTCTGTGTGGACAATATAACAACTTGGAAACGATTCCGTGTGTTCCCTAATAATCCACCCTGGATGACACATGGAGTTCAACAACTTATTCGAACAAGGAACAACGCTTTCAAATCCGGGGACCAGGAGGCATACAGTGCTGCCAGGGCCAACCTGAGAAGAGGCATCAAGACTGCCAAGCAGCAGCACAGGAGGCGTATCGAGGCCAGGTTTGAGAACAACACAAACCCAAGGCAGGTCTGGGAGGGCATCAGGGCTATCACGGACTACAAAAGAAGAACACCATCACCCTCAGCCGACAGTTCTACTCTGGCTGAGGATCTAAATCTCTTTTATGCCCGTTTTGACAGGGAGAACACCGACCCTGTCCTGTCCCCTCTCCCCTCAACCGACCCTGCTCCGGTCCTGAGCACTCATGAGCTGAGGCGTGTGTTCCGGAGCATTAACACCAGGAAGGCGGCCGGGCCGGATGGAGTGCTGGGCCGGGTGCTAAAAGACTGTGCTGCGGACCTGGCGGACGTCTTCACCTCTATATATAACACCTCGTTGTCCTGTTCACTGGTACCATCCTGTTTCAAAGCAGCAACCATCGTTCCCATCCCAAAACAGTCAAATGTCACATGTCTGAACGATTTCAGACCTGTGGCACTCACCCCCATTCCCGCCAAATGCCTGGAGAGACTGGTCATTAAACACATCAGAGCTGCTTTTCCACCATCCCTGGACTCGCACCAGTTTGCATACAGGGAGAACCGGTCAACCGAGGATGCGATCGCCACAGTGCTGCACACATTACTGAAGCACTTGGAACACAGGAACACCTATGCACGGCTCCTCTTTGTAGACTATAGCTCGGCTTTTAATACCATCCGGCCATACAAACTCCGTCCCAAACTCCACCAACTGGGACTTAACTCCTCTCTGTGCAACTGGATTGTGGACTTCCTCACTAACCGTAGACAGAGTGTCAGAGTGGGTAAGAACACCTCTTCCACCCTTGTGGTCAACACCGGTGCCCCTCAGGGGTGTGTTCTGAGCCCTCTGCTATACACTCTCTTCACCCATGACTGTATTTCCTCCTGCGCGTCCAATCTCATTGTTAAGTTTGCAGATGACACTACAGTGCTCGGACTTATATCCAACAATGATGAGACAAACTATAGG